GCGGCTGAAGATCAGAGACAGAGACGAGGCTTTTTTTTATTTCTTCTTCCTCAGCAGGTTGTGAACGGAGTGCCGTCGAGCAGGACCTCGCTGCTGCAAACACGGATACAAGAAGACGAACCGAGCTCACCTACAGTGCCTGCAGCTGAAACCAGGTGTGTTTACCATTTGTTTTTCTACAGGTAGAGAGAGCTGAGTGGTTGTTAACTGTGTCTACGGCAGGTGGGCGAGAAAAAAAGAGCTGAGTGAAGAGAAAAGACATTTTTAAGTTGAGTAGAAATCAATGAGCACCTGGCCAGGTGTTCTTATCAGAGGAGCCCTTTAAACCCGCGCATGCTCATTTATCGCCGGATTGTCTCTGAATATTGATTTATTTGAGTGGATTAAAGGACTTTTGCTGAGTCAAGATTTACCGATGATTATGACAGCTTAGCCCAATAAGTCACTTCTCTTTGTGGTGACGGACAACTCCCAGTATAACCAGTGACACCGAGCCACCAGTATAACATGGATATAAAGAATAAAGATTACTTTAAACTGGTGGGTAATAAATGTAGCACTTTGCTTAACAATGTTACTAAATGCTGTACAGAGGAAACAATAAAAAGCCAGCAAGGTGGATAAATTAAAAGATAAATGCTGTTGAGTTTACCTGTATGGACGGGTTGCATGTTTGTTTTATTTACCACAAAATGATAATAATGCACAGTGACAACAACAGCAGAACAGAACAAGAAAAACGGGCCCCTCCTGTGGTATGAAAATTCATGTTTCACGGTTTAGACTTTAGTTTGTGTCTATTATATTTACTCAGTTTGCATCCTGCAGTGTGATTTGTCCTGTTGTTTGTCAGGTGGTTTGCATGAGATGATCTCTCTCTCTTTTTCTTTCATAATACTAACTGCACACACCCTGCTGCTGTGTGTGTGTCTGTGTCTCTGTGTGTCTCTGTGTGTCTCTACCCTCAGGATATAAAATTGACATGGAGTCACAAAAGAGGATTTTGCGTTGTTATAATGAATGAGTAGTTATTATGTCTGACACGAATCTTGTTGATTGTTTCAGCTTTGTTTCCTCTCATGACTTGTGAAATAGTTTGCTGATCAGAATCTTGTCTTCCTCTTTTTGTTCAACCCGGAAATTAAACATTTCTGCCACGTGCTGGGGAACCTCCCATAACCACTTAATGCATGAAGTGAAGTACAAACATCTTTTTTTATGCCTTCCACTTTGTTTCAACCTGTAACATCTACAGAGAAGCTACGTACCCATCCTGCTCCACGCCAACCGCTGAGCAAGAAATTAAACATCTTCTCATTCACTGAACTCATACTTTGACTAATCCCCAACGTCAGCGCCACAACACTGTCCATCTCTTATCAGTCCCTCACCCCGCCAGCCTCACCTCAGCAGCCTGGGCTGCAGGTGGCAGGGCTCGTGCCCTCTGTGTTAGGTAAAGGATAAAGCAGGGGATTGACTGGCAGCCAAGAACAGGAGATGCTGTTGAAAAAAAGTTCACGATAAGACGGAAGAAGAACACAGGAGACACGGATTGAACAGGTCCGTGCAGACAATAGGAATTCATCTGCAGCAAATCCCTCAAACTTTGAGGTTAACAAAGGGGAGGGGCTTTACATACTGCTTTTCAGACTTTACATGTTGGTTCTTCACCCTGAACTCAGCAGAGGTTTTTGGGATGTGTTGATTTGGATTCTAATGACGAGAATCGGTACAGCAGAGAGGATGTGAAGATTGAAGTACTTCATCTGCTCCTTTTGAACCACAGAGTGTCAAAATGAGCAGAGGCCGAGTTTTTGCAACTTCCTGAGGAAGTTAGCCCAGGGATGGTTTTAACAGTGAAGCCACAAATGTGAATGTCACACGTTTGGTTTTTTTTCAGTGTAGGCTTCTTGTTTAATGTTTCTGTGGTTTGAGTATTCATGGTGCATTCATGCCCTTCTATGTACTTACGTAAATACGCGACGCTCTCAGTGGTCTCTGACCCCTGGGAATGCTGCAGTTTGCAGGATTTTCGCGCTACATGATCAAACCAGAAGTAATGTTACTGCGTTCCTCTTCCTCCCCCACTGATCTTCAAGAGTCTGAGCACTTAATGAACTTAAGAGGGACACAGATGACACCTTGTGCACTGATCCCTTTATCCCTCACTCTGTAAACACACACAACACAACACACTGTCTTTATCTCTATACA